TGAAGGGCCTCAAGATGGGGAGATAGCTTGGGTTATCCAGGTGGGACCAATGAGAGCACGAGGGTCCTAATAAGTGAAAGATGGAGGCAGCACATTACAGGAGATGTGACAATGGACACAGAAGTCAGAGCGACGTGACTGCTGAAAAGGGCCACGAGCCAGGGGATGCAGGCAGCCTGGAAACGCAGGAAAGGAGTTCTCCCTGGAGCCTCTGGGAGGAACGCGGCCCTGACAACACCTTCACTTGAGGTCACTGAAACCTATTTTGGACTTTTGAAACCTGTTGGTTGTTTTTTGTTTGTTTTTAATGACCTACTTTCAATCCAAGGACTAAGTTCTGGACTCAGTTCCTAGCCACTATCTTCTTTTTTCTTTTGCTTTTTTAAGATTTTATTAGGGAATTGGGGCAGGGGAACAGCGTTGGGGAACTGGGGAAGTGGAACAGACAAGTTGCTGTCCTTTTGTTCTTCAGTCTAGTTGTGGAGGACGTTGCTTCACTGGCCCTTGTTGGTATTGTGATCATTGCACTCTTCCCGGGTGAGGTAGTCGGTCTCTGGCCACTGGACAGACGCTCATGGAGGCTCACGCTGGCTGCTGGCCATCTACGGTAGCTTACCGCAGTCCACTGCAGCCTACGCCATTGCCGGTGACTCACAGCAGCCCAGCCCCAGGTCGAGCCGTGGAGGGCGCAGCGTCACTGGCCCATGTGGGATCCGAACCAGTGACCCTGCTGCTCAGAGCTCGCGCTCCCAAGCCAACTCTTAACCAACGAGCCACTCGGCCGGCCCTATGGCTGTTTGTAAGCCACAAAATGTGTAGTTATTTGTTATACCAGCCAGAGGAACCTAATACAACACTATGGGCCTTTTAGAAGAAATTATTCAAGGTGATGTCACTTTGGCCAGGCTGGTTGACTATTTGACAAAGGTCCCACGGGTGACAGTGCTCAGCTAGTGGGAGCCACAGGGAGTAGAGGCCGCTGTGTCAAACCAGCAGTGTCCCTCACACCAGACTCACGGATCAGGTGACATCCTGTGCCTGGTTTGTTCCTGGGATGGACCATGTGTTTCGGCCACGTTTTTGTCCTGGGTGTCTTGTCCTGGCTTCATGACGTCTGTCTTAGTGCATGTGAGGAGAGGGAACCCCGCCACAGCCTATCCCTCTTAAGCCATATGGGTCTTGGCTGAGTCATCTTCTCCCCAACTTCTATACAGTTGTTCAAATCTACAGCCCAAGGATTCTCCCCACCTTCCTCACCCTCTCCACCTGCAGCCCATCCGTGAGCAAGTCGCTGGACTGGCCCTCACAACGCGGCCCAACCCCGAGTGCATCTCACCGCCTCTCCCCTCCTGCCTCCCAGTCCAGGTGGCAGCTCCCCCGGTGGAGTGCCCAGGCGACAGCCCACGGCAGCTCGCCGGGCTCCAGTCCTGCTCCCTCTCAGTGGGCGCTCCAGGCAGCGCCCGCCATCCTTTGAGGCACACAAGTCAGGTCACATCGCCCCCAACAGAAAGTGTCTGATGGCTCATCACACACAAGAAATATCATCAGGTGCTTCGCCGCGGCCCCGGCTCCCTTCAGGGCCTGGCTCTCTCGTCTCATCTTCTACTACTGTCTCTCTCGGCGGCCCGATACAGCCTTCTTGCTCCTTCTCAGATTCCCCGTTCCTGCCTTAGGGCTTCTGCCCTCATTGTAGCAGTCGGGCCCTCCCAGTCTGGACCTGGAGGACCCCTTACAGGTGCCGTCTGGGAACGCCAGCCCAACCCTGGGAGGCCTCAGGATCTGGGGGAGATGGGGGCTACCCTCCTGGGGGACCAGGACCGTCTGCTCGCAGCCAGCTGGTTACCAGGCAGTCTGCCAGGCAAGACAGATCCATCCGAGGGCGGCAGGCGTCATCGCTGCTCCCCGTTACTGAGCAGGTTTCCGTTGTGTGGATGGACCAGCTTGTTTATCCATTCACGTGCTCAGGGACGTTTGTGTTGTTTCTAGGTTTGAGGGATTACTATTAGCAAAGCTTCTACAAACATTCATGTACAGCCCTGAGGGTGAGCATCTGCCTTTATTTCTCCTAGGCAAAAACCTCGGAGAGGGGTTGCTGGGTGAGCTGTGAAGCACCCATTTGATTTCACACTGTCTTCCAAAGAGTTTTGCAGAGTGGACGCACGCTTTTCCAGTCCCAGCAGCCACATGGCACTGGGCATCCTTGCTGGAGGATTGTCAATCGACAACCTATTTGATAACTCAGCCTTTCTTCTTGGCATGTGGCGGCATCTCACTGAGCATTTACATCAGACTTAAGGATGCAGAGCATTTTTTCAGGTGCTTATTTGCCATCTGTTCCTCTTAAAGTGTTCAAAAATATTTTTGGTAGATTTTTGCTTGGGTTTGTTTTCTTATTTTTGAGTCTTGAGAGTGAGTTCTTAATATACTCTGGCTATAAGTCCTTTGTCGTATGAGATCTGCAGATGTATCCGCCTAGTCTCTTTCTAATGTTCTTCACAGAGCAAACACTTTTCATTTTGATGAATTGTAAGGTGGTAATTTTTTTCTCTTACACATCATGCTTTTGGCATTGTATCTAAGAACTCTTTGTCTAAACCAAGGTCATGAAGATTTTTCTCCCAGACTTACTTCCAAGAGTTTTATCATGTTACGTTTTAGTCTATGGTCCATGTTGGTGCAATTTCTGTATAGAGCGTGAGGTACAGGTTTTTTTTTTTTAGCTGAGCCATCCTGCCACCTGTTGGCAGCTCAGCAGCAGCTCAGCTCGGGCTGGGAATCGAATCAGCGACCCTGTTGCTCAGAGTTCGCAGTCTTGAGCAAGCTCTTAACCAACTGAGCCACTCGGCCAGCCCTGAGGTACAGGTGTTTTGTTTTTGTTTTGTTTTTTTCATACAGATGTCCTATTTCTCCAGCACCATTTGTTGAAAAGGCTGTCCTTTCTCCACTGAATTGCTTTGCACCTTTGTCAAAACCAGTGGACCCTGTCTGAGTGGGTCCCTTTCTGCAGTCTCCGTTTTGTCCCATTATGTCCGTCCTCCTGTTAATAGCACGTTGCCCCGATAAAGACTACCTTAAAATGTGCTAGTGTTTAGTCCTCCAACTCTGCTCTTCTCTTTCAAAGTTGTTTTAGCTATGTCAGTTCCTTTTTCTCTACATATACATCTTAGAATCAGCTCTCCTGCATCTTTCAATGATTCTTCAGGATGTGTTAAATCTACAGATCATTTTGGGAAGCAGTGACATGTTAACTACAATGGGGTCTTCCAATCCATGAACACTGTGTCTCTCCATTTATTGAGTTCTTTCATTTTTTTTTTTTTAATCAGTGTTTTGCAGTTTTGGGCATTACAGATACTATGCATATTAGGTTAGTTTTATACTTAAACATGCCAATGTTGACCTGATATGATTGTATCCTGACATTTTGCTGAACTCATTAATTAGTTCCAAGATCTTTTGGGAGATTTCTTGAAACTGTCTACATAGACGATCACATTATCTATAAATAGAGAGGTTTCATTTCTTCCTCTCTAAATTGAATGCCTTTTATCTCCTCTTCTTGTCTTACTGTACTTACACTGTATTCAGTCACTTACGTGACGGAGTGACTCAGGCTCCTCCCTCCAGGCAGGAAGGTCCAAGTGGGGAGTCCTGTCTGCACCCTGGGCGTTGATTAAACAACATGCTTTGCTTCCCGCCTTTCTCACATGTGGTGGCTAGTCCCACACAGAGCTCCTGTCAGTGGCCCTGCGTCTAGCGGGAGGACGCTGCGATGCATTGGCAGAAATGTGCAGGCCTCCCGACGGCAGCGCATCCGCATGTCTGCCCTGTCTGGCCTGCTCAGAGTCCCAGAACAGGGTGGGCACAGAATCAAGCACAGATACGTATCTCCACAAAAGGGAAATAACATTTTTCCTCTGGGACATGGGGGGGAGGGAGAGGTGACTGAGGAAGATACACTGTGAAGTGGTGCGAGAAAACAGGGTCTTCACTGCTGGAAGATGGAATTAGAAATGCCATGTCATGCAAGTAAATGCGGTCAGTACCAATCCATGGTTCGGTGAGGTAATCCCCCGTTGCCACCAATGCAAATAGAACTTTCTGAGGAAACTTCAACCTTTTCCATTTCACAACTTTAAGAACTAATGTCTTAAACCTCTGGTACCAGAGAGCTGTAGGGTTAAATCGTGACATGGGAAAGAGACCACGGCCTTTCTTAAAAATGTATCTGTAGTTTCCCTGTATATTGTAATACTATTGGCTTCAATCAACACGATATTGATCTAATACATTCTTAGGGGGAGGAGGAAAGCGTAGACACTCAGCAGATGCAAAATAGTAACACAAGTAACGAATGACACCAGCTCTCATCCAAGTGCAATGCTTCGGAGTGACCAGAGGTAGAGGAGCAAAGCAAAAACAGAAAGAGTAACAAACAATTTCAAGCTTTAGGAATAATAAAAACAATGCTTTTTAAAAAAAATAATAAACTACCTTTAATGCACAGAAATAAGGGCAAGTAATGTTACAGATAAATATCCGTAAGATAAAACATATCCAAATGGGATTAAATGAACATGTTTCATCCTAAGTAAATCCATCTGTACAAACAATCACTGAATTCCTTTGGCTTTTTAAACCATCACTAACATAGGTCACATTATTTCTCAGTGAAACACAGAAGAAAGTGCATTTGACTGTGAGAACATGCATTTTGCGTTTTCCTTCCAAGTCTGCCCTAATCTGATCTCTGCCTAAGGCTGAGGGGTCATCTTCCCCGTACTCTAGGTGCTCCCTGCGCTGCATGTCCGGAGGGGTCAGCAGCGGCTGCAGGTGACCAGAGAAGGGGACTTCAAGGCGAGAACGCACTCACGGCCCAAGAAAAGCATGTGAACAAACAAGGATGTGCACAGGCATGGCTGGGGTGTCGCCACCTCGCGGTGACCCGATTTACCGAAACGCCTCGAGGGTTAGTATCTGCCGCTGGAACACGGGCTTACCCACTCGTAGGACAGGACCCAGCAGCCGCGCGCGACGCCCAGCAGCACCTTCAGCGTGCGCGCGGGCTTCCCGGCCAGCACGTGAGTGGTGGTGTCGCACACGTCAGGGGCCAGTGAGAAGCCTTTCAGTTTGTCCACAACCCGGATGACGATGTCCTGCTTTCTGTCACATAGAAAAAAAAAAATCAAATAAAGGTTTCCTGCAATGTGAACATCAAGGTGAGCGCGCACACCGTGCACGCACATGCGCGCGCACACACACACCCCAAAACCAAAAAACCTAGAAAGCTACAATTTCACATTGATTTTGGCTACGTGTTCATGTCTTAATGTCTTTATCCATAACGTGAAATGTGGGAAAATAAAACAACTCCGGATCTCAACTTCAACTGTCTATTTCGGTGGCTGAGCAGACGGAGGCCGAGGCTGTAGTTGGCGCCGCCACGCAGCCAGCACCAGGAGCCGGACCCTGGCGCCAGCCCAGCGCCTCTCCCACCACTGCAGGTATTTCGGTTTCAGGCCCATGAGAACCAGTCTGTATATGGTCAGGACTAAGCTCCTCACTTGCATATTTTATTTGGAAAATATCATATCTATTGAGTGTCAAACACAGTTTTTCTACTAAGAGGAGGGAAAAGACCCTTTTCATTAAATCATCAGATCAAGTCTGAGTGCAAAACTGACAGGCTCCTGATTTTCACAAAGCTCATCGCTGTTTCCCTTCTGGTCTGTCATCCCATGAATGCCTTAAGTACCATTAAAATATATACATATATGTATTCTTCCTGCCTGACTTCTCTACCAAACAACTCTCCATTTGTCCTCTCTTCCTTCTACAATCACCTTTCTAATCCTTTAGTTCTGATACACTGTTTTTTCCTCTCTCTCCCGGCAAGTTTTGGAAATTCCCCAAGAAATACAAAGGATGTATAGGGTTTTCTAAGCCACGCTGTTACACACACGATGAGTTAAGAAATAAATTTCTCCCCTCTCCAAAAACTTCACGACAAAGGGAGAGGGGCTGTTCCTCTCCATGCTCGCACCGACCGTCCCTGACAACCCCCCTGCCACACTATGGCTTTTCTTAGTCTTATCACTCGTGATCTTGGGTATGTCAACTGCAAGATCTGTTTATTTATCCGTAAAATGAAAAGGGTGACCTGTGTCACAGTTTTAAATTCTTAGCGGTCCCTAGGGGAGAGAAGATAAATGGGTTGAGACCCAGGTCCCATCACCACTTCAACCAGAGGAACTGTGCTGACTGGGGCTGTGGAAAATATTAAATTTGGGGGGTGAGGGGAAGCAAAGAAAACAAGCGCAAAAAGAAGCGAAAACCTCTAAAGCAGACACTCCACAGAACCCCTCGCTCATGCGTGTCTGACATTCCTCGTTCCAAGTCGGGCAGCTATTGGCTTGGAAGTGCTGATAATCAAGTGTCTTTTCAAAACATGGCTAATTAATATGGCATCAGAACATGCCGTGTATTGGTTTGATATGATTTCAAATCCACTTGTTTGTGACCAAGACAAAAAAAAAGTTGTTTTTAGAAGTCAAGTTGTCTTGATGTAAGGATGCAACAAGTCGTGCCAGGATGTTATCTCGGCTGTTGGCGATGCGCAGTCAGCAGCTCAGCGGCCGAGGGGCCCTGCTGGGTGGGGCCTATCGGGAACGCCACGTGGAGAAGCATCTATGGCAGGGGGACATTTCCACTCGGAACACTGAGCGACTGTGGGGCCTGCCGACAGTTTCCATCTGGGTGAGGCAAACTTTGCAGACTTAAACAGCCTGAGACACGCGGTCCTGCTGAGGCCAAGGTGATGCTTGAGTCGGCAGCGGTGCTAAACCGAGTATCTGTCTCTGGAAAAGGTGGGGCCTCAGCACCTGCCTGGGCGAGGCGCTCCTCGGGGGGCAGTGGCACAGCTGTGCATGGGTCCCCGCAGTGATAACCCTCGGAGCAGCCAGCCTGCCGCCAGCACCGAAGCCATCGTTCCTGGGACGTGCTGCGGCAGCAAGGGCCTTCCTTTCCGCACTGGCAGCTGGGGCAGCTCGTGGTTGGTTAGGGCCTCTCTCTCCAGGGCCTCCTCCTATAAAAGGTCCAGCTCAGCTGACTTGAGCTTCCTTCCTTTCATCTCCCCTAGTCTGGAACAATAATGCGATTACACCTACCGTTGTTTGGGAGCACCTCATTTCTTCATTGGCTTATTAAGAGACACTGTCGTGTACGCTATTATTGGCTTGTGACGTTCCCGTGGTGAACCTGTGTTACAAAAACGGCCAGCAAAGCCACCCTCCGTCTTTCAGCATGATTTTGCCACCAAAACCAAAAAAGAATCCCAGCTCTTATTCTTAACTTCACACAAGTATATGTGGGGAAAACAAAGAGAGAATATGGCCCACATGAGAAGCTTGATTTTCAAACCTTTGAGAAAATAGCTAGCTGTTAATGTCATTGTATTTGGGGAAAAATATAGACTTTTAAAAACATGACAGCCATACTCAATATCCATTTCTGTATACTACTGAGAGTGTTCAATATATTTAGAAGCCATTAACACAAATTGTGAGCACACCCTTTTTCACTAGCGAATGTACGGTGTTTGAATTACCAATCCTTTCAGTTTCCTGCCACGGGTAGGAAAAGGGTCCTGTTACTGACAGCGTGTTAGAGATGCACTCTTTCTGTAGCCTGTTTTTCACTGAAATGTCCAATGTTTGGATGAATATCTGAAAACCTGAAAACCTTCCATTGATATAAAGAAACATGGTTTTCCCCTTTAAACAGGAACTCCAAAATCTGTTACAAAGACTATAGTGCCATATTTTTACTGGATGTGCTTTACTGTGTCAGATGTTTAAGGAAGACGATAACAGCATGCCAGCAAGCTGTGAACTCTGCACAAATGCGTGCACGGCTGTTGTAGCACAGTTGAAGGAAGCTTCCCACCACAGCGTTTAAGACTCTAGGGGGAATGTCTCAGGCAGCCATGCTCCATTTACTGAACATGAATAGCCTGGGGGTGGTGGACACACAAAGCCACCAGGTTAGCACGTTAGCTAGCAGGAGGGAGAGAAGCTACTAGAGAACCTCTCGGTGCTGGCCCCACAGCTCACGGAGTCTTCACGCTAAACTGCTTATGGTCTTTTAACCACCTTTTTCATTTCCAGTGATGTTCTAACTCAGATTTTCACCACAGAGAGTAAGAGTGATACAGTACCGACCTATGAATGGCCTAAAAGCACACCCTTCTAGTACATGAAAGAAAGGCGAAAATTTTATATTGAGAGGAAGTTATCAAAACAATGAGTACTTACTCAGTTGGCATGCTCGTCATGACTAATGTTCTTGTTGGCTAGAGGTTTCAAAAGAGAAGGAACAAAAAACAGTCAAAATACAAAAACATTTTTTCCCCATAGAAATAAACTTCAACACATTTTTTGAAAAGTTCCATCACTTAAAAATAAACATTTAAGCATATATCAAAGAAAAAAACCTTTATATTCCTGGAAAAAAAACAGCCCAAGAGACAGAAACTCAGATATCCCCAATCCAATCTGAATTAATTCAGGACACGAGGTAGCAGAGGAAAAAACAACAACACCGTTCCCTCTGGAAGTCCGTTGTGTTAGCTGGCAGGCCTGCCCATGTGCCATCCTGCTGAAGGGCTTCCAGGGAGGAGAGGCGGGGAAAGGAGTCCTTTCGCAGGCCGGGCAACCATCTTCCCTAAGACTTCCCGGTGCTGTATTACTGTCCCACACAAACTTACACAGAATGCTCCTGCCTCTGGTGAGAGGATCAGTCAAGTTCCTTAAACCCTCACAAACACTAGCAGATGAAGGGACTGCTTATCCATGTGTTGGCATCTGCTGCTAATTGAATTGTAAAGTTTTTTTCTTTTTTAACTAAAGTTTTTAACCCTCTGTCGGACACAACTGATCTCACAGCTTCCTTGCACACAAAGACGCCGCTATGAAATCCGTCTTTACTGTACTAAGTCACAAACACGACTGGCGATAGGTTACGGTAGAGGGGGAAGACACGGTAGCGATGAGTCGCGATACTTAAATTAACTGTTAGATATTTGAAAATTTGTGTGCAATGAATCTGTGAGATCAGTTGCACCTGATGGAGGGTTAAATACTCTTTCTTTTTTTTAGCTGAGCCATCCTGCCACCTGTTGGCAGCTCAGCTCGGGCTGGGAATTGAACCGCTGTTGCTCAGAGCTCACACTCTTGAGTGAGCTCTTAACCAGCTGAGCCACTCGGCCGGCCCTTAAATACTCTTTTATACTTACATAAGAAAAGCATGCTTATGGCAAAAAAGTTAAAGGCTTTGGAAATATTTCATTACACATGTAAATTCCCCTATAATTCCACCAGCAAGACACGACTACTGTTTAATAATGTGGTATATAATCCACCAAATGTTCTTTCTATGGGAGTATGGGTATATATAATTTTTTAAAGAAAATAAAAACAGACTCACATTATTCATATGCTTTTGTGGCTCATCTGATGCACTTCAAATGCAAACAACCACACAGTATAACCATGAACCAATGCACAGCTGCTCATGTCTTGAATGGTCCGTGTGAATCAATGAGGAGGAGGAAGAGAAAGACGTTCACAGGACCCAGGTGGACACGTGTGTGGAAGGGAGGGGCCCGTGTGCTACACGTATGTGCACATCTGGGCAAGGTGGAGGGGGGAGCACGGAGGGATAGTCGAGGACGAGCTTGGGGAGGCGGCGGATGAGCCAGGGAGCGATGACCACTGCCGGCTTTTCAGTCACCCCTCCGAAGGGTCTGCTGTTCGCGCTCATCTGCCTCAGACGCACGTGGAACAGCTGGAGCACAGCTCCCTGGGCAGAGCCTGGAGACAAGGCCTTTCCGTGGGAGGCTCTAATCATCGAGTAAGATTCTGGCTGAAACCCAGTCCCGCTCAAGGGCAGCCTTGAAGGAAAACTAGGCTGGTCCAGTGAGGGGACAGCCCCCCGTGAGATGCAAGGGCAGCGCCTTCCATGGTGTCCACTGTCTCCTGTGGAACCACCCAAAAGAAGTCAGCGGGAAGCACCCCAAGTCGGGGGCCAAGGCCTGCAGGAGAGTGGGAAAGGAGGTTTTCCGGCCTTCGACCTGCCCTCCACGAGGCTGGGCTTCTTCTCCACGACTTCGCCCTGCGCCTCTTCCCTTCCTTACCTAGACTCACTCCCTGTGACTCCTCCCACTGCCTTGTGGCTTATGCACCAGCCACACGCTGACAAGTCCCGATTTCCTAGCACTGACCTACTTCCTGACATCCACACTGAAATTTCCTACTGCCTGCTTGAAATCTCCATTTGGAAGTCTAATAAGGCTCTCAAATTCCACACATCCAAAACTAAGAGACTGTTCTAGTCAGTCAATTAAGCAAGAAAAAGAAATAAAAGACTTCCAAATTGGAAAGGAAGAAGTAAAATATCCCTATTCACAATGAGATGATTGTGTATGCAGAAAACCCTAAACAACCCTGAAAAACTGTTAGAATAAACGAATTCAGCAAAGTTACAGGACACAAAATTAACATGCAAAAATCAGTTATATTTCCATATATCAGTAATGAACAATCAGGAAAGGAAAGGAAGAAACAATTTCATTTATAATAGCATCAAAAAGAATACAACTTAGCAATAAAGTTAATAAAGGGAACAGAAGACTTGTACACTGAAAAGTAAAAAACATTGATGGAAGAAATTAAAGAAGACCTAAATAAACAAAAAGATATTCTGTGTTCATGCATTATAAGACAATAGTGTTAAGATGTAAATACTATCTAAAGCAGACTCAATGCAATTTTTATCAAAAATATTTGTGGAAATGAAAAAAATCCATCCTTAATTTTATAATGGAATTCCAAGGGAACCCAAATAATCAAAACAATCTTGCAAAAGAACCACGAAGTAGAAGATCTCATACTTCCCGATTTCAAAACTTACTATGAAGCGACAGTAATCAAAACTATATGGAACTGACATGAAAATAGATAATAGTATAGAACTAAAAGTCCATAAATAAAGTCTCACATCTATGATCATTAACATTTGATGAGGGTGCCAAGACCATTCATCGGTAAAGAATAGTCTCTTTGACAAATGGTGTTGGAAAAACTGGTGTCCACATACAACAGAAGGAAGTTGGACTTTTACACTAAACACAAAAATTAACTCAAAATGAATAAAAGACCTATATTTAAAAGCTAAAGCTATAAAACTCTTAGAAGAAAATATAGGGGAAAATCTTCATGACACTAGATTTGGCAATGGTTCCTTTAACATGGCGCTAAAAAGCACAGGCAAAAAAGAAAAAATAAACTGGACATCATCAAAATTAAAAAAAAAATTACGCATCAATATTTATGCATCAAAGAATGCTATCAAGAGAGTAAAAAGGTAGTCCACAGAATGGGAGTAAATATTTGCCCATCATATATCTGGTAAGGATTTAATATGCAGAATATATAAACTCCAACGACTCAACAACAACAAAAGAAAGGAAAAATGGAAAGATAGACATCTCTCCAAAGAAGAAAAACAAATGGACAATCAACACATGAAAAGATATTCTACATCACTAGTCATTAGGGAAAATCAATCCAAAAACTCAGTGCGATACCACTTCATGCCTCCGAGGTTGGCTATAGGGAGAAACACGGAAAATAACAAGTGTTGGTGCGGCTGTGGACAAGCTGGAGGCCTGGTACAGTGCTGGCTGGATGCAGCCATTGTAGAAAACGCTGGTGGTTCCTCAAAAATGTAAACAGAATTACCAAATACCCAGCAAATCCTAGGTGTATGACAGAGAAAACATTGAAAGCAGGGACTCGGACACCTGTATGAGACTTTTCATAGCAGCATTATCCACAGCAGACAGAGGTGGAAATACTCTAAGTGTCCACTGAGATGATGGATCAAATAAACCTGGTGTATACATACAGTGGGATAGTGTTATTCAGCCATAGAAAGTCATAAAGTTCTGATGCACACAACATGGATGACTCTTCCAAACACGTGGAGTGGAAAAGGCCAGACAGAGCAGGACAGGTATTGTATGGTTCTACGTAAATAGGCCAGTTCACAGACAGGAAGGAGACTGGCGGTTGCTGGAGGTTGGGGATGGGGTGTGAAATGAGGAGGTACTGCTTAATGAGCACACAGTTTATTCCGGTGAGGAAAACGTTTTAGAAATCCATATGGCGATGGTTGCACAACATTGAACACTATCACTGAACCATACATTTAAAAATAGTTAAAACGGAGGGCCGGCCGAGTGGCGCGATGGTTAAGAACTGGCTTGGGACGCCAGAGGGCCCTGGTTCGGATCCCACATATGAGGGCCAGTGACACTGCCCTCTACAGCTAAGATGCTGAATAACAGCTTGACCTGGAGCTGGGCTGCCGTGAGTCGCCGGCGGCGGCGTAGGCTGCAGCCCCTGTGGCAGTGGGTTGCCATGGGCTACTGTGAGTGGACTGCAACCATCGTGAGCGGCCAGCAGCCGCCGTGAGCGGCCGTCCAATAACCGGCGAGTGATCTGCCTCGCCCGGGAAGAGCGCAATGATGGTGCCAACTTGGGCCAGTGAAGCGACGTCCTCCACAACTAGACTGAAGAACAAAAGGACAGCAACTTGTCTGTTCCCCTCCCCCAATTTCCCAATAATATCTTAAAAAAAAAAAAAAGGTTAAAAGGGCACATTTTGTTTTGCATATTTTATCACAATAAAAGAAAACAGCAAACTACCGACCTTCTCCCCCAGCGCAGCCCCTCCTTCCGCAGCTTCGTGTGTGAACGGCAACCCCATTCTTGCTCAGCTCAAAAGCACGGACATCATCGACTCTTCATTTTTTTCTCACCTGCCAAATCCAACCCCTCTACGCATCCTATACACTCAGCCTTCCAGGCACACCCAGAAACGGACCAGTTCTCCTCAACTGCACTCCTAACACCCCATCGGCTCACGTGAATTCGTTTCCAAGCCCCTAAAATCGTCTCCCTGCTAAATCTTTGAGGCTTCAGATCAACGCTCCACACAGGTGAGAACAGGTTAGATGACATCACTGGTGCTCCCTAAGCCTCCAGCGGTATCTCCGCAGGTCGCTGAGTCCAAGGCCCTGCACCTCCCCCGCCACAGGCACAGTCCCCGGGAACACGGCCAGCACATGCCCAGCCCTGGGGCTTTGAACTTGCCACTTGCTGCTGCCGGGTGCTGCTCCGTCCTCAGACACCCACGGGGCTCACGCCCTCAGTTTAGGTCTTGACTCAGGGGTCACCTTCCCAGAGACAATGTCTCCAGGCTACCGGTCTAAGCTGCGCCCTACGACAG